TTTTATCCAGGTGAGGTCAGTTGCTTGGAGGGGTCTCAGCTCACACATCCAGTAAGTGTAGCAGACTGCTGGCTTGCAGAAGCTTGTAGCAGGCTGCATACATCATACTAGAAGTCTGCAGGCTTCTAGGGGCTACCACCCACCTGTGGGCAGTGAGACCTGACTGCATGTCTGCTCAGGAGGTTTGAGCCAGCTGAAAGGAATAATTAGCTGGCTGTGACAGGAGTATCACTTTCGGAGCCTTTCTAGGAGTGACTCCACCCTTCTGTTATGGGCCAACTGCCTGCTGACTCACCTGCCATGCCTTGATCTTAATTGATTGATGTAATTAGCTGGAGGCTGTCCACTTTATGTGCCCCAGTGCTAAGGGGTGCTACCTGCGGCTCCTTTTCCTCCCCTGCACCACAGCCCAAGCCTCGTAGATGGTACTGATGTGGTTTGACCTGGGTCCTGGGCCTTGGCCCTGTCCTTTACCTCCTTGAGGTTCCTCGCAGCCCACCATTGCTCTGGGGCTCCTCACTGCCCCCCTTTGCTCTGGGGCTGGGGTCAATGCACCCCAAATGCTGTGCCCTCTCTGGCACCAGAGTCCCCACGCTACCGTGGAGCTCCTATCAGGCCTCCTCCAACCCCTAATAGCCTAACCCGGTCCTCCAGTCAAAACAGTAAACACAAGAACACAAAGCCCCTGGGCTACAACATAAAAGCTAGACCGTCCGGTCAAACAACATTCAATCCCTACCAGAGAGAGAGCGCACTCCAACCCCAGGGGATACTCCCACCATCAGAGTTCTCTCCTTCATCTGTACTAGCTGAGCTCCTCCTCCCTTGGTCACCAGAGGGGAACTGTCCTCCTGGCCTCCTGCCTGGGCTTAAGAAAGGCTAAGCCCTGCCCCTTCCTGTCAGCTGGTTTCACTGGTTGCCCTAGCAACCAGCTGTTGTGCTGCCCTGGTGACTGGCAGCTGAGCCTCCCTCTTCTCGCTACTAGGGGTCTCTCCTGAGCTGTTTCTGCTTTCAGGCGCAGGGCACCTAAGTGCTCTGTGACACTGGCACAAAGGGAAGTTAAAAGGCTCCCAGGAAAAAAGGGGATGGAGACTTAAGAACTGAGGGAAAGACCTACTATACTAATAGCTGCAATACCAGGCCAGGGTATGCTCTCAGGATCTTTCAAGAGATCCCAGCACCAGGGAGCTCACTCCGGACAAAGAGAAGGGAGACTGGGGCTGAGAGAGCAGCAGAGAGCCAGAGCCACCTTCTCAGGGTCTGGAGAACCCAGTAGGGACTATATTTATGTTTGTTTATGGATTTGAGGATTTATGTTGATATTATATACCTCAACTTCCAGAAAGCCTTTGACCTGGTATCTCATGAGGTACTGATCAGAAAACTGGAAGATATTGGGCTCAACTGCAGGACTGTCAAGTGGGTGCGAAACTGGTTGTGAGGCAGGACACAGGGAGTCCAAATGAATTGATCGGTGTCATCCTGGTGAGATGTGGGCAGCAGCATACCCCAGGGGTACTTGGCCCAGTGCTGTTCAATATCTTCATCAACAACCTGGATGAGGAGCTGAAAAGCCCATTGGCCAAGTTCAAGGACGACACCAAGGTATGGGGTTGTGTGGACACACCCACAGATAGGCTGCAGATACAAGTAGACCTAGACAAGCTGGCATGTTGGGCAGAACAGAACCAGATGAGGTTCAACATAGAGAAATGCAAAGTTCTGCATCTTGGAAGAAAGAACCCCCTGCACACCTACAAGCTGGGCATCACTAACCTGACCAACACTATAAATGAAAGGGATCTGGGGGTTACAATAGACCCCAGTATGAATATGAGCTGACAATGCGATGCAGTGGCTGCTAGGGCCAATAAAACTCTGGCATGCATCAATTGATGCATCTCCAGTAAATCCAAAGAAGTGATTCTCCCACTTTACTCAACATTGGTGTGGCCACAGCTGGAGTATTGCATCCAGTTTTGGGCACCACACTTCAACAAGGACATACTAAAGCTTGAGAGGATCCAAAGAAGTGTCACCTGCATGATCAGTGACTTGCATGGCAAGCCATATGAGGAGAGGCTGAGGGATTTTGGACTCTTCGGCCTAAAGAAAAGAAGGCTGAGTGGGGACCTGACTGCGGCTTACCACTATATCAGAGGTGTGCATCAGGAGCTCGGTGAACAACTGTTCACCAGGGTGCCCTGGGGGAAAACTAGAAACAACAGCCACAAACTCCTGGAAGATATTTTTAGGCTACACATTAGGAAAAACTTCTTTACAACTAGGGTGTCCAGACTATGGAACAAGCTCCCCCCAGAGGTGGTGCAATCATTTACCCTAGAGGTCTTCAAGAACTGGGGTCACCTAGCTGGGGTCGTCTGACCCCAGATGTCCTTCCTGCTCATGCAGGGGGCTGGACCTGATGATCTTTTGGGGTCCCTTTCAGCTCTATAATTTTATGCTTTTATGTTCTGGTGTTTCCTGTGAGGCAAGGGTGCACAGAACAATTAAGAACTGAGTTGAATTATAAAGAACAATCCCCACCCTGCTACAGTAAGGATCCTAATATTATAAAAGCCTTAGCTTGTCTGTCTGTCCTGTCTGTCCATAATGCTTTATTCACACTCTGATTGGCTGATGGAAACAACCAATCAGAGTGTGAATACGTTACTCAGACAGGATGTGGCAGCATGGTGGGGACACAGAGGATGGAGCAGGGAGGGGGCAAGGTCAGCGCAGCCTTCCCCTTGCTTCTTGGAGGTGGCAGCGGCCGCATGGGACAGAGCGGGGTCAGGACTTCTGATCTCTGCAGGTGGTGAATATAGAAAGGGGAGAGCCAAGGTGAGCGCTGCTCCTTCTATCTCTCATGCTGCTCCCTCCCAGCATGGGGAGTGGGGAGCTGTGGGCCCGGGACCAATGCAGTGGTGGTGGGGGGAAGAGGAGGAGTGGGCCTGAGGCGGGGAGAAGCCAGCCCGCCATGGCAGTGGGGGTGGGGAGCAGTGGGCTCAGGTTGATAAGGGGGTGGGGTGGAGGGATGAGAGGAGTGGGCCCAGTCCCGAAATGGTGTGGGGGGGTAGGGTGTACCAGGCCCAGCCAAGCCCAAACTGGCCCTGAAATGGAGGCTGGGGGGAGCAGCCCGGCCCAGCCTGGTCTGACCCTGAAACAGTGGTGGGGAAGGTGGGGGGAGGGGCAGGCCCAGCACCTGCCCCACAACAGCGGTGGCAGGGCTCGCCAGGTCCAGCCTGGCCCCAAAATGGAGGGTATGGGGGTGGGGGTGCACTGGGCCCAGCACAGCCCAGCCTGGAAATAGCAGTGAGGAGGTTGAGGGGGTGGGCTTGACCCCATAACAGTGGCAGGGAGGTGTGGGGGGCAGGCTCGGCTCCATGGCA